CTCACCACGTACGTTCGACCAGTTTGGGTCATATGTGAGACCCCACACAGGAACTTATTGTTAGATTTCATGAGCTTTTTTTTTTTATGTTATGGCGGATATTGTAATATTTGTAACACTCGAGCAAAGGGGAGAAAACAAAATGCGCGGCTGTATTGTAATAAATATTATCGCACGTATATTATATCACTCTTTTTTATTACGCAACGAACAATTTGCTTTATATAGAGTTAGCGAAAGATTATATATATATTTGTCTCCAAATATATATATATATATATATATATATATNGAAAGATTATATATATATTTGTCTCCAAATATATATATATATATATATATATATATGTCTCCAAAATATATATATATTTATTTTTATATATTATATATATATATATTTTTATATATTATATTTATATATATATATATATATATATATATATGTCTCCAAAAGAGTATACGGTTATAATTCGAAGAACGAGATACTCGGAACGCGTAACATCCTTCGTGAAGAAGAGTTGCGTCACACGTGTGTTTTGTCTCAATATCTTCTCACGTGTGAGAAAACAGGAATGTAACACTATATCGATTATTGATCGACATAACGAGATGATTTTGGCGAAAAGAAACGCATTTATAAACGGACGAACATTCCTTCCCCGCTGCAACGCGCGTCTTCCCGGAAGGAATATATCGGAAAAATAACCAAGACGTTCTCCTTTATCTCACCTCAACTGACCTATTCGTCGAAATCTACGGTTCTATTTTTTCTTTTCGTTCGATAACCCTATCCCTATCGAGTAAATTATCTTACGCTTGTGTATTTCGCGCACCACCGCAATCCAGAAGAATAATAGCATATAATAACAAACCCGATCGCGCGAATGTAGGTGATGTCGCGAAATACGAAACATACGTGTTAGGGAAAAAAAAAAAACGTTAATCGTAAAAAATTTTGCCGTCAAATTGCACATCAGCGAAAAATTGCTGAAGAGCTCTCAAATGCTACTCCGTCTGTGTAGGTTGCATTTTCTGTTTCTTTTTTTTTTCCTCATTCACAAAATTCAGAGAAGCGGAAATTCAAGTGTAACAAACTATTTTTTTAGTTGCTCGTTTCAATCAATATAATTTATATAAAGACAAGATTTGACAAAATTTCCGCGAATATGTATTTGATAAAAAATCTTGTTTTTAATTTAAAAAAGTTTTATAAAGTAAACTAAAAGATGTGATAAATAATATAAATGTTTTTCTGAATCTCCTGCTTTTCAATTGGTTTAGAAATTGTGTAACTTTTTTTTACTTTACATGATCGAAAAAAGATAAAAAATAAAAACGCGCAATATTGTGTGCATTTATGAATTTCTTAAACTCTTTTCCTCCAATCGGAGTTTTACATAAGTTGTGCTTCAAACAATGATATTCGCAGTTGATTGAATTGAGATCGATCTTACGAAGATCACGGAATGGATATATTGCAAATATCGCGCGCGAGTTTCGCCACGCGAGAGGAAAAGTGCGATTATTACGCGAATTGCGAATCTCGTCGCGCGCGTTTCCGCGTGTAACGTTTTCTCTTCGCTCTGAGCACGACCGTGTGTGTGTGTGTGTGTGTGTGTGATGATAAATTGCGGTTCCCGTTTCTCGAAGAGAGTAGATTACACGTCTTAACGCGTTCGGAGAGCTCTTCTTTTCTCTCTTAACGTAATCGTCGCGCATTAAGCAAAATCACCACCGCCGCATGTCAACGGCACTTAACATTTCGCAAATAAAATGATTGACCATCACGCCGCCGCCGCGGCCGTCTCTATGCGTCCGTCCGCCGCCGCCGCCGCCGCCGCTGCGAGTGCCCGCAAATTAAACGGCCTCCTCCAGAAAAGCATCATCATGTGCCCGCGACACATACACAGGGTGTGTGTTGAGATAACGAAAAAAGAAGTCGGAGAAAACAACACACACTATACATATATATATATATATATATATAGTCACATCGCACACACACTTACACGTGTTTATAAAAAGTTATCTGATATTATACAGACACTCGAAGAGAGAGAGAGAGAGAGAGAGAGAGATATTCAAACACAAAGTTTAAACGTTTCTTAACACAATTCCGATTTTTTTTTTTTTTTTTTTTTTTTTTTTTTTTTTTATCGCGCGTTATCTGGGCAAATGAGGTGTCAAGTGTGTGAGCCGCGAGTTTTCTTTCTTTTGTTGGCATTTCTCTTCGCTTCTTGAAATGCAACGAGCGAGACCGAAGAGAGAGAGAGAGAGAGGGAGATCGTTGATGGGGGAGAGAGAATCTCTTCTCTCCCATGTGAGATATACGACACAACGCGCAGGTTGTGTGTGCGATAATGTGTGCAACGTGTTATTAGCTATCGCACTGACAATGAGAGATACGCTCTCACTCTCTTGAAAGAGAAATAAACGTGTATATTGCTTCAATAACACAGAAAAATAATCGTCAGAGACCGTCAACCGTGATTGTCACACACTCTTGTTTTAACGAGCGGGAAATGTATTTTATAAACTTTGCGTATATAAATATATCTTACATTGTTTGTTCGTTTACATGTTTGTGTGCGATAACAAAGTCTTTAGTCTTATTTATATTATTATTATATACTTTTGAAATGTCTTTCTACCTTGTGGAACACAGGTCACAAGGAATAACATAAGTTGTTTTATGTACATTTGGTAATCCTACACGTTATATCTATCATCGCTGTCCCCAGTGTCGCTGGCGACGCAACTTTATCTTCTAACACACGTATTGGGGAAAAACTTTGAGAAGAAAAACGACGCATCTTCATATATATATTTAAAAAAAAAAAACGAAACTTTTCATTTTTCTCTTGTTTGGATTATTAAAATAGAGAATAAAACAGAGAATATTTTTCTCGACAAAATTGCAACATTCTCGAAATCACGACACAACAATCTTACACATGTGTGTTTGTGTGTGTTTGTGACATAATAAAATTACAATAACAGTATATGTCTTAAACAACGTTTTTTTAAATAAAATTTTTTTGTCTTCTCAAATATATTATAGAGATTATTTATTTTTATTTTAATTACATATTTATATTGGAATAACAATTACTGTCAATTGATTATCATATTTTATATAGTTATTTTGCCAAATTTTTTGTCAAATTTTTATTTACACTCTTCATTACTTGTTATATTTATAATAATTGTTGTTCTCTTTTTCTCTCTCTCTCTCTCTCTCTCTGCTACAAAATAAATATAATTTAAAAATATTATATCAGCAAGTAACGTTCAAAAGACCTTAAAAAAGGTGCACTCGTCGTGTGAGAAAAAATCTTTTTACTAGGATTTGTATTTCGACTCCAAAAGAAAAGATATAAATCACATACAAAAAGAGAAAATAGATAAATGATAAAAAGTGTAGAAATTTCTCTACGCAACGAGAAATTTTCTCTGCCAGCCAAAAAATTTATTATAATTTTCAATGAAGACGATTTCCAACGCTGTAAGCAAGCGTACAGATAAGTACTTCACGTCAAAACTGTGTTATCTGTCAAAGTCACTATCACATTTCGTTGTAAACATAAGGATCGTTTTCCGAGTGTTCCCAACTTTTTACAAGACAAAAAAAAAGTCTCTCGAGAGAAAAACTCGAGAGAACAAAACGAAATTTATATAACACGACGATTTCGATCTTTGATAAAAAAAATTGATAAAACAAATCAGCGAGAAACGAATCTCTCGTCTCGTGTGGAAAAAAAAAAACTTGCTTCCCCTTTGTGTGAATTTTGCGTGAAACAGCGGAAACAACAAACAATCTTATACGATATAACAACGCACTGGATGATGATCACTAAATATATATTTCGCGATCGCGATTGTCATAATTACCATGACGCCGTCGTCCTCGGACCGGCAAAAATCACCGCAACCCGTCTCACATCAATCGGCGAATCGCACGCATATCTCCGCACTTACTGTCGCGCACTGTCTCTCTCTCCAACGGGCAACGTCGACTTATCCGCGCCGAATTCTTCTCACTCTCTGTCCCAGGGTCTGTCTGCGAGAGAGTAAATCGGCGAGAGCGCCGAGGTCTCCTCTCTCGCGCTCTGACGGCGCGCGCGGCCCCCGATCGGCCTGGCCGGTCGCGGCGGACCCGGAAATCGGAACGGCTCGCGTGCCCGTGCCACAGGTGGTAGTGTGTGGTGGTGATGGTCGTTCCCCAATGGGATAAAAACAGATAGCCGCGAGCGGAGCACACACGGGCCGTTCGTCTTATAGGGTGTCTCGCAAAAAGCGGGATTGCGCGCGGCAGGAATGCGCTCTTCTTCTCGCAATTGCGCGATCGATCGGTCGATCGATCGACCTCGCGTTTTCCAATTCTTCGCAGTTTTTTTATTTTGTTTTTGTTTTTGTTTTTATCAAACTCTATTAATTAATTAATAATTGCATTCTTTCTCCGTTTGCTACGTTTTAATATTTTTTTGAGATGTAAATTTATATGCAAACTGAAATATTTTTATTTTAAGTTGAGCTCGTCAACTTGTAGATAATCCTTCTTTGGTTTTATTGGAGAAGTTATAATTGGTTATAATTAGTTAAAAATTTTTTTAAATCTTTTTTCTCTCTTAATCTTTATTTTACAGATCATCATCATTTTACCGCGTACTTTTTTTACCGATAAAAGTGTATTGTTGTGTATTGTTTACATATATTATATAAAATTACACGTGTACATGTAATTTTTTGAAAGTACGGTACAAGTTTTATAAAATAGTTTTTAACACACGCGATAGAAAAAAAATTAAGATTCAAATATTACGGTATTTCTTAATTTTAGTCATAAAAATTACACTTTTTTATTATACATATTTTATTATATTTATGAAAAAAAAAAAAAAAAAAAAAAATTGTCGCGTCTGTTTTGAGAAAATTTTGGATTCAAGCACACAGAGAGAAACTCACACTCAAATTATTATTTTTTGGATGTACAAACTTACGTGCTTGAAGTGTGTTATCATGGTCGTCGCCATCGTGGTAAAAGTCATCTTATCTAACAGCATCTCGATATATATAATAAAATTTATATTGTATTGCGTGAAAATTTCAAACGCCGTGAGAGCGAGAAGAGCAGCACCCCGTGAAGTCGCCCGCACGAACTGCCGCAATGACGACGATGGTAAACATATATATACCGGCTCGTCGGACGGAGGCGGCGACACTGATCCCAAAAAGCTCCTCCTTGTGAACCCTCCGCGTTTTCCAAAAATTCCGAAACCGTGACAGAAGATAGTAAGAGAGAAGGCGGCGGGAGAGGTTGGATGAGAGGAGGATGAGAGAAGAGATGTTGTGTTGAAGCAAGAGAAGAGAGAGAACGGTGGGAGAGTGTATAAGGAATTGGATGAAAGATCAAGGAGGAAGAGAGAGAGAGAGAGAGACAAAACCTCACGCGGGGATCATGGAGGGTTCCCCGGTGGGACGCGCCAGGTGGGAGCGAGAAGAAAACAGACTCGCGCGAGACTAACAAACGGATGTGGGAGTGAGAAGAAGCATGGAGAAGCTGAGAAAGGAGAGACGAGAAAGGGGAAGAGGCAAGAAGAGGCTGAGGGAAGGAAAAGATCAACAGCGAGAATGAGAAAAGGGAGAGAAAGAGAAAAAGAGAGAAGGAAAGAGAGAGAGAGAGAGACAGAGACATAGAGAAAGAGAGAGGGAGAAAGCATATGTCCGACGAATGGAACTTTAATCGTGGGTTAATTGCCTCATTGTCCAATAGAGATCGATCGGAATGAAAAACCGGATTTGTTAATTGCGATACTCTAGGAACACCGCGCAGCGTGGATCACGGACAGTGTGATTATATATATCGTGGTCCTTCCCGCCAATATATATTTAGCAGTTCTCTCTCTCTCTCTCTCTCTCTCTCTTTTTTTATTTCTTCCGAGAGAGACGTTATGTCTCTCTACGGGTTTGCTGCTGAGCAACCGCGCAGCGGTTCATCGTTTACGTCGTAACGTAACGTCGTCAGAGAGACGAAACTCTCTCTCTTATCTCCTTATGTCCTCTCTCTGTTTATGTGCCCTGTTGCGCGCCCTGCCCGGTCCTGCGACCACGACATGGTTGGCCGTCAACTATGGCGGGGCCCGGGGAATCAGTGAGAACCCACATACGCGCGCTAACTCACGCGCGGTGGGGGTTCCCGGATGACAGACGGCTCAGAACGGAGAATAGATGGCGCTGTACGTCCCTTGAGAGAGAAAGATGTGAAGAAAAGTGTCCGCTTCTGTGATCGGAGAGATATAATTCTGATCGAACACATCCGTAGCCGGAGAGGTGTCGCCGTATAAGATCGATACACCGAAAAAATTGTATTCTTGTTTTGAGGATATCCCACTTACTTTAAGTATATTTTATACAAAAATAGGCGCCAAGAAGAGTTTCTTATTTTAAGAGGAAAATCCTCTAAATAGTAATATTGATAAGAATATATACTGATTAGAATATAAAAAGCCTCTATGGAAAAACATATATATCTCACTATCGAAAAAGACTATATTCTTAAATTAAGAATATATTCTTAAATAAAGAATATATTCTTAATTTCAGAAGAATATCATCTAAAATCTTTAAGAAGATTTTTTAAGTATAAAATCTTCTACTTACGAGAATATCATTTTTTCGGTGTATTGTATTATTTTCTCTTTTTCTTCTGTTAAATAAAAATACTTAATAAAAAAAATTGTCACGTGACTCTCTCTCTCTCTCTGCTCTAAAAGTTCTTGCGATTCTTTTTCTTCCCCTTATCTTCAAAGTGTCCGATCAGTTTTGCATTGTTTTCTTTTTTATCTTTTGTAATTTTTGTTTTTTTGAATGAATTTTTTTTTCATCGTCAGAATTTGATTTCCGATCAGATGAATCATCTTCGAGAAGTTCATGTTCAAAGATAATGAAATGAGAAGAGATCAGAGAGCAAACACAGAACTCGTAGTTTATTTTTCAGGTTTCACGAAATAAATCTGTGAGAATAATCTTTCAACCATAAGTGTGTACGGCCGTCGTATGGCCGAGAGAGTAAGTTCGTCGTAAAATAATAAGAAACATCCACACATGCGACGTTCCCGCAAGAAGAAGGTGCGCGGACGCGGAGACGGTGTCTAATTTTCGCGTCAAAATCGATGTATAGTCGTACGCATCGCGGTAAATTTGCGCGATCGTGCGTGACGACCGTCAACCGGATCGCGTCTCTCCGAACGCGAAGGGCGTAAACAACTCCAAGTGGCAAGAAAGACCCGAGAAAGCCAGATCAAGAAAGAAGATCAAGAGAGACACTCGAGAACCAGAGCGATTAGAGAGAGCGAATTCTTATCCTTCCCTTACGCCGCGCGCGTAGAGTAGAAAATCGACTTGCGTTTGATAAAAAGTGTACGTGTGGGCGCGCGCGCGTTCCACGTCTCTCGAAACACTTTCCAACGAAATAAAATTACGGATGTTACAGACAAGCTTGTCTCGTGTGTCACAAAACCGGTATTTTATATTTATATTTTCTTCTTGCGAGTCTCTTTCTCTCTCTCTCTTTCTCGGAAAAAATTCTAATTTACGATCGCGCAATTTTATTTATTTATATTTCATTCCGAATTTTCGGTGCAAAAGCGATCGGGATTTGCTATTTACGGTAGAGTTGACGGTGGCGACAAAAAAAAAAAAATTGCATCCTCGGAATGAAATTTATTCTTCTATTATAAGGGTGAAACACACATTTTACTCGGCGACTTTTTTGCGATGGCGTATAGGACATGGCACTTGGCGAGGCGTCCGGAGTGGAACGGACGACCGCATAGAACGGGCTAGACCGGGTCAGGGGGAAATGATGTAGCTTGTATCGCGTGTAGGGGGCGTGAACACGTGGAATGAGACGTCGATTGGAACTCGTTTCGATTCAAACGGAAATAAAAAACGAAAACGGTAGGTGAGCGTCGAGGCGGCACAAGCCGCCGAGGGATACGGTATGGTTGTAGACACGAGGAAGTATACATATATACTCTCTTCTAAACATCATAGAAGTGAGCTGAGCACGAAGTGAGATTCGCGTTCCGCGCCTTCAACTATTTGCTCGCTCAATTGAACTTCATACGCAAATCACAAAATATATTTTTAATAATAATTAGAATTAATAATTTTTATAACAACAATATAATTAAATAAATTAAACTTAATTAATTAATAATACAGTTTTTTAATATAAATTAATTCTATATATTTGATGTCATATAATTAATATGTAATATATT